AAAAAAAATTACTATTGTTTCCGTGGGCGTGGCTTGTTGGGCGTGGCAGGGGAAGGATACTGTAAAATCTCCATTCCCACCCTACTCCAGGGAAAGGTTACTGCAAAATCCCCATTTCCTCCTGATCAGCTGGGACTCAGGAGGCAGAAAATAGATGGGGGCAGGGCCAGTCAGAGGTGATATTTACCAGTTCTCCAAACTACCCAAAATTTCCGCTACCAGTTCTCCAGAACTGGTCAGAACCTGCGGAATACCACCTCTCATCTTCAAGTTTCTAAGGCTGAGAAACATTGCCTTAAGGCAGGGGTGTCAAACTCGCAGCCCATGGGCCGGATGCATTGTGCGCTGGCCACAGCCGCCCATTTTAGCGAAGGGGGGGAAGTTGCGATACCTCGCGTGAAAACCGTGTTATTGCGACTTTGACAGCCCTGCCTTAAGAGGATTCCTTAAAGGAACAGCACCATTTTTTAAAGTTCAGGGTGAAGGCTGCAAAGTCAGTCTACTTTAATCAAGAGCTGAGAAATAGTGCATTTCTTCAAAATAATTTTCAATTTTAGCCCTAAGAGAGAGCACTTTCAGGATGTTAAGCTTCCTAAGCACACTCTCAGAAAAACCAAGTTGAACATGAATCAATGAGATGTATAATACTTGAATGTCATTGCGATATAATTGAAGTTGTTAGATTCTAATGTAAAGCACAACTAATGGTGATTTGAAATGAAGATGTGATAAAGCTATAATCTAATTTTTATAGTTTAATCTGACTCCAAAAATTTTTAAATTCTGGTTTTTTTCTCACCTGAAGTATTTGGAAAGATATGAAGAGAGATAATTAATATTGATATTAAACTAGTTGTACAATTCCTTCCTTTTTCTTACCTGCTGACTTTAGTTTCTCTATTTGTGTTTCATTCTGCATAATATTGCTTTCCCTGAAAATAATGTACATATGTAAGTAAGCATTTAGAAAATGATGATAATCCTATGTTTTTTTCTCTCAACAATCCCACAGGGTAAGAATTATTTTACCCTAAAAGATATTGTATCACTAGGGACAATTAGATTTTGTATTTATTTTTGATAGATGTGTCTTGCTGCTGATTAAGTTGCTATTTCTTCACATGGAATCTGTGTTTAGTTCCTTCAAATACATAGTCATCTTACAGCAGGACTTATGAATGCAGAGGGTGGATCTGTTTGTGCATAAGCTAATGCAGGAGTCTCCAAACTTGGCAACATTAAGACTTGTGGAATTCTGAGAGTTGAAGTCCGCAAGTCTTAAAGTTACCGAGTTTGTAGACCCCTGAGTGAAGGGATGTATTTTTGGAAGCAACTCACCCAGTGGTGAGATTCACTTATCTTTGCTACCAGTTCGCAAATGTGAGCGCTCACCCTCGCTACACTCGCACGCACCATCTTCTGTGCATGCGCAGAAGGTAGTGCATTATGTCGGGGTGGGTGGGTGGCGCCTCCAGCAGCTGCCGCTACTGGTTTGCTTGAACCGGTAAGAACCGCCAGAATACCACCACTGAACTACTCACCCCTTTGTTTTTCCTGGTATGCTTAGCTTTAAGTAATACGATATAATTGTCAGAATATCCTGCTTTTAAATTAAAGTGGGCGTTAACAGAAAAACCATTTTTTCATAAAAAAATTCAGTAGTTAAACTATCCTGGCTTAAAAGCACATACATACCGTAACTTCCTTCTTTTCAGACTTTTCCAGATTAAAGCTCCTTTTAAGTAGAATGGTAAAACGTTTCAGTTCGTTTTAATTGGCTGTGAAGTTTCTATGAACTTGTTTTGGGTGCTTTTGCAGATTTGAGCTGGTGTTCTTTCTGTGAAACTCCCAAATCTTTCATTTTTACTTAATGATCTATAATTCTGATATGCCTGGTATTTAAATGAGCAGCCTTTATAATTCATTGTGCACCTTGGTCAACCGCTGAAAGGGGTGCTTTTAATGTCCCCACACTTTCAGTTGTTAAGCATTTCATTGACATTCTGTGAATTGCAATGGGAGATCTAGCAGAAATTTCTCTTAATCCAGGAACTGAAATCTGCCTTAATGGCAGGTGTGATACTGAAAGAAGGATCAGAAATAACTATAGTTAATGTCTGTAACACTGCTGAACAAGGCAAGGGGAGAACATGTTCCATGGTGTGACATTAAAAGCTGAGTCTGACTCCCAGTTTGCTAATTATTTAGCAAGGGAACATACTTTTGCATAGGCCAGTTACAAAATTTAGTATGAACTGCTGACTATTTTTATGTCAACTGCTCTGATGTTTAATAAATAATTGTTGCATAATAAAAGGAAGAAAACCTTTTATTGAATTTATTGAAGCCTGAATTTATTTTAGTGAATGGATTCTATAGCAGAATATAGTAAGTTATCAGCAATTCTGAATATTTCTTCTTTCAGTTTTTCCTATTCTCCTATTTCTTATTCCCAGTCCAGCCGATATAGCCAGTATAAAATGGAACATTTCTGGAACATTTTAGATTATCACAGCTAATTATAATAAAAGATATCTGCATGTGGTATATGATGAAGCATGTTTCTTTAGTGCATTACTTAAACATTTTGTTCCCTGCATTCATGGAAATGTTTCTACTATCTGTTTATTATTGCTCAAGTACAAATGAATTACAAGATATATTAATTTTCTCATTTCAATATGTTCAGTGTGAATCTACAGCTGACTGTCAGATTGATTTGATGTAATTTAAGATTTAAAAAAAAACACTGGATATCATCTTGCCAAAGTTAAATAAATGGCTATCAATGAGAAGGCCACTTAGGTTAGGTCGGTCTCACTGAAAATCAGCTTCTATGTCACAAAAGAAGTTATTTAAGCACAGGGCTACCAAATGTGATGATCACTTTTAAAAATAGCACTTCTGTGGTTCATATTCTTGGGTGTAAATAAATGAAATGGTCTGTAATGCAATGCTTTTTTGATAGTTTTAGCACTATTGGCTTCATATTCTTGACCTTTAAACAAAGTTATGATCTTAGTGGTACTGTTAGAGAAATTTTCATAATTATAGTTTTGATAGGTTTGAAGTAAACCACATTGCATGCACCATTCCTTTCCCCTCTCTGGAATAACGCCTTTCATGACGAGGCTCGATTTACGCT